ATTAAATGTGTTTATAAGATGTGAGTTCTTATATTGTATGACTGGTGGGGTCATGTGTTATGTAATGGCTGGGAAATAGAGGTTTTATGTGAGTTAGAACCTGTCTATTTCCTAGGGAAAGTCTGGAAAAAGAAATTTTATGCGAGTTAGAACTTGTCGTTTTTCCAGGGACTCTGGCAGGAAACACCCTAGTGTTCGGGTTGTTTTGGATGACCAAGTGATTGGTCATGGATGTGATTTCTGGGTTAGGAGATATCATGAGGTAACCACGAGAAGTGATTCTGGTCGACATGTGCTTATGAGGCACGTTGCAGAGTTAGTGCTCTAGGGGACAGTGAGGTTTCCTGCATATACTCGAGGGGACAGTGAGGTTNTCTCNNGNGGATAGTGATTTCTCCTGCATATATCTCGAGGGACAGGGATCTCTCCAGGGGACAGTGAGGTCTCCTGCATGCCGATAGCTTGATAGACTGTGTGTTCCGAGAGTGGGAGGGGCATGGAACATAGCGATAGCCTGATAGACAGCGATCCTGAAGGTGGGAGGGGTATGTTATACACCGATAGCTCAAAGGGTGACGATCCCTGAGAGTGTGAGGGGTGTATATGTATATGGGTTATGAGCATAACGTTTGTGATGTGATTATAAGCATGAGACTAGATGAGCTGCAGGGATTGGGAGTGATCTCAGGTGGTACTGGCCGGGTGGGTCAGTAGTGTGATAAGGATTTGTAAGTGGATGTCTAGTCTGGGGTTTTTACTTGCGTTTGGAGCCTCGGTTCAGACGACCCTGGTAAACAGATGTAGCGTCTTTGGTCGCGCATGTTCTTGTTTGATTGTTGCGCAATCAATTGGTCCAAATTTGGGTATACGGTTGGACGTGCATGTTCTTGTTTGATTGTTGCGCGATCAATCAGACAGACCTAATCCGGATCAGGGAACGTTGCATTGTTGATGTTTTCGGGCTAATCTGGTCTGGTTTCGGATGGGAGTGTTAACCTTAGTGAGACGGTGTTGTAT